CATCCATAGAAAGAGGAAGAAGCCTCAACACTATTGAATCAGTAGCTCTTCGTGAGGGCCATCTATGCCAAGCGCGTCATTCTTATTCCAAACCACATACAGCTCACCAGCATAATCTGTGTTTAAAACACCCTAATAGCTCAGAATTACTCTACCCCATCACGACAAAACGGTCCTTTCCAGGACCACCATAAATTTGTAAAAGAGTATTTTTGGATATTTGTCAAGGTCATCAATCGGATGTCAGTTCCCATATCAAGATAGAGCTGGAATTAGGGCGTAACAGCTTTTGTAAACAATGACTTCTTTCGATGATGTCTTGAAAGTCAAGACTCGCCCATGCACATTAACATCATCAGACTTCCCCTACCCGACGGTATTGTTGGTTTGCGTGGGCGTGCCTTGAATTCCTAAAAATCCTCGAGAGAAGTGATTGTTTACAAAGGCTGTTACGCCTAATTCCAGCTCTATCAAGATATGTTTAAATCTAACATACCATGTTCTTGAAGGCAACATTGGGGGTGCAATTTCAAAAACCTAAGTCGGTCGCGGCATGAAAGTGTTCTGATTTTAATCCAGAGATGATGGATTTTAATTCTTAATACGCCAATCGATAGGGATTTTTTTCTACAAATCTGGTAAAGTTCCTGTTGCTTTTATAGTTAAAATTATCACCGATTGCCTGCGAAAGCGATTTCCCTAACACAGATTTCAAACGTTGAATTCCATCCGGTCTCACCAAACGGTGTTTATTCAATCACCGCGTGGTGAGTGGTTGTGTTCTCCAATATTATTATTATTTATCTTTATTAGGGATGCTTTCAGCCTTGGGCTGGTTCGCCTCCACTGTGTTCTCCAATACACAACGAAAGGCTGCCTGCAAGCAGCAAGCTGCAGCCCACATGAGCATCCATAGAAGGAGGAAGAAGCCGCACCGCTATTGATCGGAATCAGTAGATCTTCGTGAGTCACTGTGGGCCATCTATGTCAAGCACGTCATACTAAAGAGTATACACAGAGAGAACCCCACTCAAATTACTATTCCTACACAAAACACAAGCTCCTGCTGCAAACGAATACGATTTATTATATAAGACCACGTAGTCCTACGTCACCATTACGTACAACCCCTTAGGGTTGTCCCTTGTAGTTTTTACAGTTTTTGTCTGTCACATACAGTTTTAAAAGATTTTTTGCAATGAAAATACAGATTTAAATTCGAAAACAAATGTGGCATCACTGTCCAGAATGTTCGTTTGTCGGGGAAAAGAGGGTCAGTTTTGCTCCAATAAGGTTTTCCCGCAGTGCGCCCAGTGATACGAACACAGAGGATACTTTCAACAAGCAGACCTACCTTTCTACTTCACTCCTACGGTACTAATGTTTTTCACTAGAAACAACTTCTTTTGCTTTAAAATTAAACTGTTTTATTACTACTCGTAACCAGTCTTGTAAGCGGTCACGGTAGTCGACACATTTTCTGTGATAATTGACTGCCTTTGCCTCCGACACTTGCAAAACAAGCTATCATAGTACAGTACCAAACTAAAATTTCATATGACAGGCTCTGTCATACGACAGTGTCGCCGAAGACCGTCACGAATGTATATATTTTAGTTTTTCTCATAATAAGAGCTGCTGATGGTGTGCTAGTGTGAATTCTGAAAATAGCAAGCAATGATGTCCTAGTAATAATATTTCTGATCAGAAATGGTTTGATTTACACCAAATTGAGGAATTACAACGAAATAACAAATGTCATATGATAGCTATTTTGATAATTTTCTTTTAGCTCGAATGTTATTCTACCGCTCGTGTTGTGTGAGAGAGACGACGGTAGAGCATGAGTGTTCGAATACAAACAGACTGTCGCGCACGACAACGAAGCGAGTGTAGTAAAAAACGTCAACTGTTTCAACCCCTGCCCTGCTCGTAACGCACAAATTTCTAAACTTATTTTCACTTCTGAACAAATGTTCACTCTCGTTTTCTTTTTTCACACCCGTTTGCTACGATGTTTATTTCGTTGATATGGTTACGCCAGGGGCCTGGCTAGCGGCCATGTTTTTGATGCTATCATCTACTCTTGTCTTTCTGCTTATAACCAGAGGTGCCAGTCTTATTTTGAAAAAATCTGGCAAATCCCGAAAAAAATGTCTGGCAAAAATCTGGCACAGCAAATTAACATAGGAAGCTGCCAGATTTCTAAAAAAATCTGTCTGGCAGAGCTTAAATTTCTCTGGCTGTACCAGATAAATCTGGCAACCTGGCAACGCTGCTTATAACACGATTTTTCGTCCCTTTCCACCATGCATACGTCAGGCGGGCCGTATTTAAATAAGGCCCGAGATGTTGCCTACTGTCAAAGGTATAGGATTGATATAGGGTTGCCAGCCCCCTGGGTTACGCTCAGGGGTGGCCTGACAGTTGACGGCGCGACGACTGCGGCCCGAGTAGAAAAGTTCGGACTGGCAGTGTTAGCAACACTTAGCAACTGTAATATCGGCAGAAACAATTCAGTGCCAACATTTCAAAGGGGCGTAATTGCTTTTGTAAACAATGGCTTTAGCCGTCGATTTCTCGCAAATAAAAGCCCACTCCTCCAAATTACCAATGCTAGCTGGTACAGGAAACATTTCTCTACCTGCTGGTGTCATTCATTTTTATGAGTGAGCTTTCATTCACGAGAAATCGACGACTAAAACCATTGTTTACAAATGCAATTACGCCCCTTTGAAATGTTGGCACTGAATTGATTCTATTTTTACCATACCTCATACCAGGTGAATATGATTTGAACCAACAATCTAAACACAATTCAAGATCTAAAACTTGTGAACATTGTAAAATATCGTCAAAACATGGCCAAAATAGGTGCGTAGAGTTAACTTTAACGCTGTTTTCCATTGCAACCGATGTAATTTTCCACACTTGCATATTGCTCCAGTAACCATAACTGGAGTGCTAAGTTGACACCGTGGAATATTTCTATCATTCCCGTTACTGTCACTCATTATTCGAGGTAGAAGCTGAGAGCTAGAGACTGCTGCAGGGAGAGCAAATTTTCATCGGATAGGTCAAACTCTTCCCCAGCGGGCTAGTTTAAATAGTTTAAACATCGCTGCGCTTTTTTTACTATTGAAGTTTTCAGCATTTATTTTTCATTCATTTACCAAAATTTGTGATTTTTCTAGTGTGTGAAAAGGCAATCCAGTTTCCTACATCTTTGTCTCAGGTGTCATTTCGATTAGATAATGAGCCGTTGTCGTGCTATGATTTATTGAATAATATCGAACACGTTTTGAAAAATTAGACGCGAGTCACAATGCCCGAATTCCAGCGCAAACTTGGTTTATTGCCCCCAGGCAAGCAATTAGGTATGCAAAGTTTCATGGAATTCTAAGAGGTTAAATCTGAAAGTCGTTTATTTTTTCCGAGGGGGGTGAATCTATCTACGATGCAGGAAAGATTTTGTTTTGCTGTAATTAGCTGTGCGCACGCTGAGTAGATAGAAAGAAGATTGATGACGATTCTGAAGATTTCCTGCAAAAAGATGATGCACGTTGCAAGTAGATGCGAGAAATGAAAGGAGATTTTTCGTAGATTGATTCGCTAGTGTGAGATTTTTCGAGCATCTGAATAGCGATTTAGACGCGACGCCCCCCTCGATTTTTTCACTATTTGGCGTGGATTTTCGTGATTTTCTCTTTGGTAAAACAGCATCGATCTGGTGTAGTGTGCCAGTTTTTGACCTTATGCCCTAAATCTAATTTGAAATGTTTTTTCCATGATGGTATTTGATTATATGTTCTAACCTTGTAACAGGCTAAATTTAGTAAAGAATGAAAAAGTGAAAATTAAGATAAGGTCAATTGGAGGACCAGAAGGGCCAAAAACTAACACACTTGCCCTTGTATAGTATGACTATTTTCAATGGAAGGTTTTTCTCCTATCTGATGGTAGTGTTAGTTACGCCAAATCGACGATCAAAAGCTGATACGTCCCTTCGAAAAAGTAATCGAGACTTCAATTTGATGTTCTGCCAAGGCAATAAAAACAAAACAGCAACAACATATTTTTGAAAGGCAGATGTAGTTGCAGTGCTGAATTTTTTAAAAAGTTATGTTAAATAGAAGAAGAGAGAAAAAACAAATCTACCGAAAAATGAGAAAATTGACGAAAATTTCACTCATTTCACGGATTTGAGGCAAACACATTTTTTTCGGAATTGTTGCCGGCTTCTTACAACGTGTCCCACCCATTTCTGGATGCGGGGCACGTCATAGTGTTGCATTTTCATAGGAATTCCCATAGGCCATAATTAGAACACACCATAATAGGAACTTATAGCCATAACTGGTACATCTACCCTACCTATGTCCAAACTAAAAATTATCCTAAACCGCTCTTTCCTATCTATATTCTGGTTTTTTTTACAAGAGATCTACTGATTCTATTAATCAAGCCACAAAAATCAAAACCAAATCTGTTAAATCTACAAGAGCCACGGCTTTATTATCGCACCGATGATAACGGCTAATCAGTTCATCCTCCTAGTACAATATCGTACACATTTATATCACAAGAGCCAATTGGCGGTTTCGATCACAAATGTCTTCATGTCGCATACACGTCCGTGGAGGCTACATGTGTCAATTTAGCGACAACGGACTGGCACCAAGAGATCACAATCATTCGCATAATTGAATTAATCGAATCAGCGTATCAAGCCGGGGCTGCCACGCGTGTGATAACGAGAAGTGCGATTGCTGTGTGTTGTTGACCAACGCAAGCCATTGAAAACGCGAACTTGCGACAATCAAATCAATTTCAATTGATCAGAAAGCGTGCCACTGTGCTCTCCTCGGGTAATATCTCTGCGCAATCCGTCATTATAAATCTATATAAATACAATCGTTGCTGTAATAAGAGAAATACATTTACAAGGATTCGATTGCTAATTGATTTTTTTTTTCGTGTCTCCCTTTCTCCAACTACAGGCAGGCAGACTAGACGTTGTTCTACGCTTCAAAGTAAGGAAAGAAGGAAGGACAACCTAGCCAACACAGCCACAGTCCAGCGGACCGAGCCGCCATTCCTTCCCGCGGAAAACGTTCCAAACAAAAGAAAACACGACGCAACAAAAGCGCAACGATGCCAGCTCGCTTCGAGGACGCCACTACTGACACCCGGCGCGGTGTCCCCAGGGACCTGGGGGGACACTACGATGGCTGTCAGATTCGGGATGACATTTGCATCACAGGCTTCTCCGGCCGCCTGCCGGAGAGCTCTAGCATCGAAGAGTTCAAGCGCAACCTGATGGAGGGTGTCGATATGGTCAACGACGACGATCGTCGATGGCCCAAGGGATTGTACGATCTCCCAACCAGGATCGGAAAAATCAAGGATGAAGATCTGCAGAATTTGGATGCAGAGTTTTTCAAAATTCACCAAAAGCAGGCGGAATGTATGGATCCGCAGATGAGAATGCTACTCGAGTGTACCTACGAGGCTATTATTGATGCGGGTAAGTCGTGCATCTACCCATCTACTTGTTTCCGCAAACTTCAATCAGCGCTAGGTGTACCGATAAGCGATTTCATCGCGTTCGGTCGATGATGGATTGGATGCAATTAGCGTCAAGTATGAGGGCATCTATTCTCCAAATCAGAAATGCTCGACTTCGCGCATATTTCGTGTTAGAATTACCATTAATATTTACAACCCTGCATGGTTCACCGTCATGCGCTGGCCACCACCTTGCAATTGACTGACATTAGCGATATTGATTGCCCACAAAAAAAAGACAAATTAAATTAAATACAAACCCGTTTTCCGCACGTCGATACTGGTATCCCAATTGCGCGCGCGGACGAAAATCTTACCCCTCAATGACGCACATGGGGCTCCGATTGATTATTTGTTTTCGATCCGATCCGTGGTACACGTAAATACTCTTAGTCATTTTTTTTTTGTTTGTAAACCACAAAAGTACATATCCGCGCAACTTATCCACTCATCTTCATCATCTTGTATGAAAAATGCTGAGAGCTCCCAGTAGTCCGCTGGGCAGGCATCTACCTCTATACCTATGTATAGCTATCTACATATACAGCTAAATAGTTGCAAATTGCGCGATGTCGCTCTTGCGTATCCGCTACTACTTTTTTTTTGCACCCAGGAACTAATTGGTGAATCTCCAGTGTTCAGAAGTTACTAGGTTGGAGACTGAGGTTTTTAGAAGATAAAGCCAGGGGAGTTCAGTGTTTCATAATTTTTTTGTTCGTATAACAGCGGTATTCAACCTATTGATGATTCGTGAATTGGGATGGGATTTTAAACCACGACCTTCAGCTTAAGCGACTAGATATTTTTGTAAGACTGCGGATTATCGATGATTGTAAAGATTTTTGGATTAAGGATAATTGTAAAGATATTGGACTTGAAACATTCCTTTCTGTTTCAAGAACTTGAAGATTGAAGGTTTCATTGTTGTGGGACTTTAAAATAAATCGAGATAACTTAAAACTTCTGCGACATGAATAATGTTCAATATCATTGGACTCAAAGAAATATTCTGGATTCCTTTGAAAACCGTTCAAGGTTCTTGACTTTTCTAAGAAAAACATCTTATCTTAGAAAAAAATCGTGAAATAATTTAAGCTTCCAGAAGGGGGTTACTTTTTATTCTAGTGACTATAATGACATAAAGCAAAAAAAATGCACGACTCTCACGATCCACAGGATTCTCGAATAGTGCCACCGTGAGTGAAAATCCAACTAATACACTATCAATATGATGCTTGTAAAAAGTCAAACTAAACGATAGTTTCGCTGACAGTTTGGTCACACCCTGTCTCCCCGAAGCAAGTGGAAAAGCTCCATCACGAATAATATCAGTCTCAAGATGGGCCAATGCAATCCCACCACACCGAAAATAGTTTTCATTTAGCTTCCATTGGAATATTGGAAACGCACATGATTTTCATCCATAATAAAAATTAATGGAATTCATCTGAATTTCACATAACATTTATGCGATCACGTTTTTTCATATGAATTTCATCGGCCTCATAATATTTATGTGATTTTGTGGTGGGATTTGATTTTGTGAAGCCACCGACAAACCGACATGAATGACCATAGCAAAAACAATAAAATTTCTGACCAAAGCACACTACTGACAACTGGCTCCGTATTCACGGGAAATATTTAACTAAGCCAAGAACCCGCATACAAAAGTTATGAATTGGTTTGTGTCTGATCTATTCTGAACAAATTATTTTTATCTAGATCAAAAAATCCTATGGTTTCGACAGTTCGGATCACTGCACATTTAAATCGGCCCTTTACGGGTATAAGTCAGAATTAAGTGTCATGTTGGTTTTTCGGTGGTAAAGTTATGTTAAATTCACATGGTATCATCCATTAGATATGTGATAAATTTTTTGAGTGATGACGATGACGAGCGTGGTTTCGAGGAAGCGCTCAAAGATCGATAGGAACACTTAAGTATTCAATCACCGACAAACCGACATGAATGATCATACAAATTACAAAGAAATTTCTGATCAAAGCACAAAACTGACATCTGCCGCCGTGTTCGCGGAAAATATTGATCCTAGCCACGAACACGGGTACAAAATTTATGAGTTGGTTCATGTCTAATCTATTTCGGACAAATTATTTTTATTCTATTTTATATTTTTGACAGATGGGATCGCTGCAAATTTGCGATCATGAGTTAAGTTTAAGTTTCATGACGGTTTGTCGGTGATTCAATCATCGTCGAATGAGAGCAGCGACAAGCGTGAAAGTTTCAAGTCCCTCAACAAACGATCATAATCTTCGAACCAACAGGAATGACGCTCTTCAAATGCAGTTTTTGCACACCACTTAACATTCCACTAGGCAAGGTTGCAAATACTCATTTCAGCTAAAATAACGTTTTTCGGAATAATAAAACCAAAAGATGGTATGATGACATGTGTTACTTATAACTTACAAGAAGAGGTTACAAAGTATGCGTTTGAAACATAAAACCTGTAAATTTTGCTTTCTATGAGTCACAATCAGCGATTTGCTGATCGCTGAGTGAGTGAGTGAGTGTGTGGAAAATCGCTGATTGTGATTCTCATGAAGTGAAATAAACAGGTTTAATATGTCAAACACATTCTTGGCAACCTCTTCTTGTATCTTACCAAAATATGACCATAGCATCTAATTATTCCATAATAAAAAAAAAACATTGTTTTAGCTGAAATGAGTATTTGCATCCTTGCCACTAGGAATGCAAAAACATGATAAGCGTTAGGCAAATGAATTCATCTGTCTTCTGGATTTCGGGATGAAATTGGCAAATTATACCATTTATAGGTATTTATGTGTAAGCAAACGAGCACACAGTGGTGCCAACAATCAATACGAAACTAACGATTTTAAATTGGCTCACCACTTTAGTAGCCTATTGGTCCCAAGCAAACGATTAACGTACCCTATTCTAGTCGAAATTCTAGTACTACGCAATGTTTGTTTTGATTCGCTATGAAAGTTTGACAGATAAAATGAGGGGTTATTGGTTTTTCCTATGTTTCGAGGGGTGAATCGATTAGCTTGGGACCGAAGAGAGTACCAGAGCTGAGCCAAAAAGTTGAGCACGTTATTTCGGGACCTTCTTGTCTTAGAGTTACCTCTATGGTGGTGCCAAGGGTATCAAAACACGCGCTTTTTTATTTACGCTGAAATGGTTGATTAAAGGTACTAGGTGTCTTCTGAGAAGTTTCTCGGGTTACAACATTCCTTCTTATGGTAACAGAAAATTAAAGATTAATCCACCTAACAGTGAGATGCAAAATTTATTTTTTCAATATAATAAGATACAAAATAATTGTGCTGGGCAAAGCTGTAGGGAACATTACTGTGAACAACTTTGCTGAAAACTATAACTTTCTAGCTCTTATAACTGCTGAGATATAAAGGTTTTTTTGTGGAGACATCGTTAAAATCAGTTTTGTATCTGTCACTTTTTCAACAATATTTCTACATGTCTGGCATGTTCTACAAAGATGTTAGAAATATCAAATTACATATCTTTTCAGAAGACTGCAAATTGCTACCATCAATACTTGAAAAGTTATTTACATTTTTTGGTTGAAAATTACCCAACTTCCAATAACAATAGCTTCTAAACGGGTAAAACGAGCAGGCCATTCATTGAGCAATTGAAAGTTCAAGAAAATGCAATAAAATAGTGAAGAAACCAGACCGCCCTCACTTGACCCTTAACCAAAATACTTGCATTAAAACTTGTCACTTTTCAGAATTTGAAATGACGATTTTGTGAAACCACGAGACTGCTATCGAGTAGGTGTGAAAAGAGGCATACAAATGGATAACCAAGCAACCTGGGTTATTTCTAATGACTAACAAAATGACTCGGGATCAAAACGTCAAACGAAATTAACTATGAAAGGTTCGAAAGCTACGGAATAGAAACGGCTCGATGACAACGGCGAGAACAGGAAACTGCAAGCGCTCTTGGAGATTCGTACAATTTGAATCGGAACGTAATAAACATTAAACATGAATGATTTTGGTATTGTTTATTGACAAAATCGAAAAATATTTAAAGTACGTAAGCGATTCAGTCAAGGGTCGTTTGAGGGTGGTCTGGTTTTGATCCCGTGTCATTTTGTTAGTCATTAGAAATAACCCAGGTTGCTTGGTTATCTATTTGTATGCCTCTTTTCACACCTACTCGATAGCAGTCCCGTGGTTTCACAAAATCGGCATTTCAAATTCTGAAAAGTGACAAGTTTTAATGCAAGTTTTTTGGTTAAGGGTAAAGTGGGGGCGGTCTGGTTTCTTCACCATTTTATTGAATTTTCTTGAACTTTCAATTGCTCAATGAATGGCCTGCTCGTTTTTGCCCGCTTAGAAGCTATTGTTATTGGAAGTTGGGTAATTTTCAACCACAAAAATGTAAATAACTTTTCAAGTATTGATGGTAGCAATTTGCAGCATTCTAAAAAGATATGTTATATGATATTTCTAACATCTTTATAGAACATGCTAGACACATAGAAATATTGTAGAAAAAGCTACAGATACAAAACTTATTTTAACGATGTCTCCACAAAAAAACCTTTATATGTCAGAAGTTATAAGAGCTAGAAAGTTATAGTTTTCAGCAAAGTTGTTCACAGTAATGTTCCCTACAGCTTTGCCCAACACAATTATTTTGTATCTTATTATGTTAAAAAAAATAAATTTTGCATCTCACTGTTAGGTAAATTAATCTTTAATTTTTTTTACCATTAGAAGGAGTGTTGTAACCCAAGAAACTTCCCAGAAGACACCTAGTACCTTTAATCAACCATTTCAGCGTAAATAAAAAAGCGCGTGTTTTGATACCCTTGGCACCACTGTGGAGCAGCTCCAAGATTGTTTAGTAGACGTCTTCTTCTTTCTTAATTTTCACGGCCATGTATGTGAAACCACATGAATAAAATAATTAATTTTCGTTTCGTGTAGCCTTGCAACACGAAAATGAATAAAAAAAAAGTACGCTAATGAAGCAGATACACTTGGATGACAAACTATGAGCATGAGCATTATTTGTATAATAATTATGAGCACTATACAACAACTATACAAAAACTATACAAGTTCGACCATGGATGTGCTCATAATTTATTATACAAATAATACTCATGTTCGTAGTTTGTTATACAAGTGTATCCGCGGCATTAGCGTACTGTTTTATTCATTTTCGTTTAGCGTTGCAAGGTTAAACGAAACGAAAATTAATTATTTTATTCATGTGGTTTCACATACATATGGCCGTGAAAATTAAGAAAGAAGAAGACGTCTACTAACCAATCAAGAAATTTGACTGAAACTATCAATAAAGCGTAACTATTCAAATCGACGTATCTGATTTTGTAAACAATCACTACAATCGACGATTTGTGGCAACTTCTAGCTAACTCACAGAAACTTACAACACCAGCTAAGGCCTGTACTCGAAAAAAAATATGCACCAGACAAAATTTTCGCCAAAAATTTATTTCAAGTCAGATTTTCTTGAAACTTTTAGGGAATGAACTAATACATATGGATTATGTTTCGGCATAATTACTTTATTCAATTTCCTTTCAATCGTTGAAAGCCCGCACCTGTCCCTTAAGTCCCCTCATTACAGTTTGTGCAATGGTGGAGCCGACATTTTTGGTCACTTTCATCCATTCTTTCTTCAACTCCAGCTCGTTCTTAAACACCTTGGACGATTTTCGAACTTTGACCTTCATTATGGCCCAAAATCTTTCCACCGGACGAATCTCTGGTGAATTTGGGGAGTTGGCGGTTTTTGGTACAAAAACAACGTTATTGTCTGTGTACCAATCCAACGTCGATCGCACAGGTCCGGCCAAAATAATGTCTCGCCTCCGTGGGACCGCAGGAAGGGCAACAGACGCTGCTGGAGGCACTCGGTGCGGTAAATTTCGCTGTTGAAGGTACCCATTGTGATGTACGGTTTACTCAGTTTACCGCATTGGCATATGGCCTGCCAGAGCAAGTATTTTTTGGCGAATTTGTCCACTTTCTTCTTCCTTATGTCTTCCGGAACATCAAACCGTGATTTGGCAAAGTAGAACTCCAGCCCCGGTATCTGCTTTGCGTCTGCCTTGATGTAGGTTTCGTCATCCATAACACATCGGTTTCGTTAACCACTCTCGATACAGCTTCCTTGCGCGGGATTTGGCCGCCGTGTTTTGTTGATCACACGAAGCTCATTTCATGGTTTGCTGAACGAACCAGGCGGAACACTTTGCCTTCAGAGCCGCGTCGCGAATCGAAAGGTTCGGATTACGCTTGAAATAATCCAACACGATTTTCTTCCACTTCCAGCCCGCCGCTCGGTCGCCTGGGACTCCTTAAACGATTTTACCACCCGAGACACAGTTGTATGGGTGATTCCCAGTTGTCTTCCGATCCATCTCATGGTCGCAGTCGGATTTTCCATGACGGCGCGCAAAATTCTCCGGCGATTGTTATGAAATTTTGCACATGTAAACAATTCACTCCAAACTAGTTATACCCAGGTTTTGATCAATTTTTACCCACGGATAAAAAAGTTACACACGGATAAAAATGGTGCATTTTTTTCGAGTACAAGAAAAGATTCCCCTACTTGAAGATGGTATTTGTTTGCGTGGGTGAGTAAGAAGTTAAGACAAATCGTTGATTGAAGTGATTGTTCACAAAAGCAGATACGTCGACTTGAATAGTTACGCTTGAATAGGTCTCAGCTGTGGATTTTCCGAGGGATTCTCTCGTCTTGCTTTGCTCGCTGCCTTTCAATCGCAGTCACGTCAATTTTCGAGTTGAAACGAAGCCTCAATTTGGCTTTCAATTCCTGTCACTGACACTATGCGTTATGACCCGTTTTCATTATATTTTTAATATAAATATGTGGAAGGAAGATAAATTGAACATATTACGGGTAATTTGTTTACATGTGCGAAATGCTTAAAATATATATTTTTATTTTCCGTCATAGGGGAATTTACGTATTCTCGTCAATCTAAGCAGCGTCCGCACTTCTATTAGCATTTTCACAGCGTCGCGCACATATATGACGTGTCTGTTTGTTTCAATTCATCTGCTGCTTGCTTCTCTATCCATTCCAATCGACAGAATTCTTCAAAACTGTTTGAAAGCGTTTTTACAACGCTCTAAACTTCTCAGGTGAGTGTGACTATTGTCGGCAGCCTCTTTTTCTTCGGCAACCTTCCCATTAGAACCATAGAGGTAACTCTAAGACAAGTAGGTCCCGAAGAAACGTGCTCAACTTTTTGGCTCACCTCTGGTACTATCTTCGGTCCCAAGCTTGTCGAATCACCCCTCGAAACATAGGTAAAACCAATAACCCCTCATTTTATCTGTCAAATTTTCATAGCGAATCAAAACAAATATTGCGTAGTACTAGAATTTCGACTAGAATAGGGTACGTTAATCGTTTGCTTGGGACCAATAGGCTACTAAAGTGGTGAGCCAATTTAAAATCGTTAGTTTCGTATTGATTGTTGTTAGAACTGCGTGTTAACCAGCTGTTCTATTATCGGCAACTCGAAATCAGCCCCATTTTGTATTACGTATGCTTCATTTGAAGAAAAATCTGGCATAACAGGATTGCTCGGTCCTACAAATATAATCAGATTGAAGCTGAAAGACTAAAGAATCATTTGGATACATTCAGGGAAGTGTGTTGATGGTAAAAAATAGTGAAATTAACGTTTAAATTTTGATTGCCGAAAACAGTCAATGGGTGCCGAAGCCGACATTTACCCTATATACGTCATGAAAAGTCGATATATAGGAACACATTTTAGTGAAATTTGAGGCATTGGAATCCGGTTTCGAATGTTTTGGGTTATATCCGGATTGCCAGTGGATTTGACAACTGTCAGAAAAAGTTCAATATATAACTCGGCTTAACAATTGGTTTTGGTAATTTTTGTGTGGGATATATCCTGGCAAATAGGGATTCGGGGTTATCTTCTTCTTATTATGATGTTTCCTACATTCCAACTGGAGCTTATCATCCGACCTCTACTTGTTCTTTGATCACTTCCACTGTTGTTAATTGAGTCTAAAGGGCCGCCCACAATGCAACAGGATCTGATCCGTTGTGGCAAAGCGACAGCTAAATCTATTGTCTAACTGTCAGATTTGCCGCAACGGATCCGCAACTATCCTTAATTCTCAAAACTAACTGAAGCCTATTGCATCATCCTTCTAATGAGGTACGCATTCCTTTTCCCCGCAGGCATCAATCCTCAGGAACTCCGCGGTAGCCGCACCGGTGTGTACATCGGTTGCTCCAATTCCGAAACCGAACAGCACTGGTGTGCCGATCCGGACCTGGTGAACGGATACGGTCTGATCGGATGTGCCCGAGCCATGTTTGCCAACCGGTTGTCCTATACCTTCGATTTCAAGGGACCTAGCTATGCGGTCGATACCGCCTGTTCGAGTTCGCTGATCGCTATGTCCACGGCCTTTGCCGACATGAAGGCTGGACGCTGCGATGCAGCCATCGTTGCCGGATGTGGCATCATTCTGAAGCCAACTATGTCGCTGCAGTTCAAGAGACTGAACATGTTGGGTAAGGAAGGTATGTGCAAGGTGTTTGATGAATCAGGAAATGGATACGTGAGATCGGATGGTTGCGTCGTCACTTTCATGCAGCGTGCTTCGGACTCACGCCGCATCTATGCTAGCGTTCTGAACGTGCGGATCAACACCGACGGGTACAAGGAGCAGGGTATAACCTTCCCAAACGGAGCTATGCAAAAACGTCTGATTCAGGAGACGTATGACGAGATTAATGTCAATCCGGCAGATGTGGTTTACGTTGAGGCTCACGGAACCGGAACAAAGGTTGGTGATCCACAGGAAGTGAACAACATTACTGACTTCTTCTGCAAAGAGCGTAAAGCGCCGTTGTTGATTGGATCAGTTAAGTCCAACATGGGACACTCGGAGCCGGCTTCAGGAGTATGTTCGATTGCAAAAATGCTTATCGCTATGGAAGCAGGTATCATTCCTGGAAATCTGCATTTCAAGAACACCAATCCCGATCTATACGGGCTGATGGATGGCCGAGTGAAGGTAGTTGACCGTAACTTGCCTTGGAATGGTGGAATCGTCGGTCTGAATTCATTCGGATTTGGCGGAGCCAACGCTCACGTGATCATGAAATCCTATCCCAAACCGAAGCCGGTCAGCCCGAGGGATGGTTTCCCGAAGTTGGTTCTGGCTTCCGGACGGACAGAGCAAGCTGTTGAATCATTTTTGGACGCAGCGGAAAATAATAAAGACGACGAGGAATTTGTCGGACTTGTGAATGAAGTTCACAGCAAGAATATCTCGTTGCATTATTACCGTGGTTACACGGTATTGGGAGAAGGTCAAGCTGTTCGTGAAGTAAACGATTCTAGCGATGATAAGCGACCAATCTGGTTCATTTACTCCGGTATGGGATCCCAGTGGGCTAGTATGGCGAAGGAAATGATGCAGGTGGAGGTCTTCAACAACAGCATCCACCGTTGTGCCGAGGCACTCCGTCCGGAAGGTGTCGATTTGATCGATATCCTGACCAAGAGCGACGAAACACGATTCGATAATATCCTGAATTCATTTATTTCTATTGCTGCCGTCCAGGTGGCTTTGACGGACGTGCTTAATCACCTTGGTATCAATCCGGATGGCATGGTAGGCCATTCCGTTGGAGAACTGGGTTGCGCCTATGCCGATGGTTGCTTCACCCCGGAGCAAACCGTCCTGGCTGCATACTGGAGAGGTCGTAGCATTTTGGATACGCAGCTCGTTCCCGGTCTGATGGCAGCCGTTGGTCTCTCCTGGGAGCAATGCAAGGAGCGCCTACCGAAGGATATCATTGCCGCTTGCCACAATAGCAGTGACAGCGTGACGGTAATTGAGTTCTTACTTTCATCGGTACAATATTATTTTGATTTGTTTCCATTTATTTTGCAGATTTCTGGACCCGTAGATTCGATCAACAAATTCGTTGCGGAACTGAACGCTGAAGGCGTCTTTGCCAAGGCCGTTAAATCTTCCGGTATTGCCTTCCACAGCCGCTACATTGCCGATGCTGCACCGAAGTTGCGTAAATCGTTGGACAAAATCATTCCCAACCCGAAGAGCCGTTCTCCCCGCTGGATTAGTACCAGCATTCCGGAGGAAGCTTGGAATACACCACTGGCGCAGCAGTCTTCCGCTGCCTATCATGTCAACAATCTGCTCTCTTCAGTGCTTTTCGCCGAAGGACTGCGCCACGTGCCGAGCAATGCCATTTGCATTGAAATCGCTCCCCATGGTTTGCTGCAAGCCATCTTGAAGCGTGCTCTCGGCAAGGATGCTACCAATCTGAGTTTGATGAAGCGCTGTCACGACAATAACGTAATCTTCATGTTGTCCAATCTTGGAAAGTAAGTGACACGGGATGGTGGGATTAATGAGCGTTGACTTATGCTATGTTCCTCGTAGATTGTACGCCGCTGGAGCGCAACCTCAAGTTCAGAAGCTGTACCGCCCGATTTCGTACCCTGTCGGTCGTGGAACGCCAATGTTGAACTCGCTCGTCAAGTGGGATCATTCGACTAAGTGGTACCTGGCCAGATTTGGTGTTGAAAGTAAGTAGTACAGCGGCAAGTGTTTCATGTGTATTTTTTCAATAACGACATGCTTCCTTCGTCAGACAAATCCGGTGAAACCGTTATCGACGTCAACTTGGAAAAACCGGACGATGCCTATCTGGCTGGTCACACCATTGATGGACGAGTCCTGTTTCCGGCTACCGGGTACCTGACCCTAGCCTGGCGTACCTTTGCCAAAATACGAGGATCGGATATGGAAAAAACGCCGGTGGTCATTGAGAACGTCGTTTTCCATCGGGCCACGATTCTACCGAAGGACGGTTCGGTCAAATTCGGAGTTAACTTTTTCGACGGTACGGGAGCTTTCGAGATTTGCGAGGGTGGATCGTTGGCTGTGTCTGGAAAGATCTCCGTCCCGGAGAATATTGACAACGCAGAACTACCGCTCTACGAGATCGACGAAGACAAGTCGGGACTCCCGATGAACAACGGTGATGCGTACAAGGAGCTTAGATTGAGAGGCTATGATTATGGTGGATTGTTCCGTGGAATAACGAAAGCTGATGCAAGCCGTGTCACTGGAGAATTACAGTGGAAGGATAACTGGGTTAGCTTCATGGACACCATGCTGCAGTTTAGCATTTTAGGTAAGAACATGAGGGATTTGTACTTGCCGACCAGAATCGAAAAGGTTGTAATCAACCCGGCAAAACACATGGACATGATGAACAATATCAAGTCGAAGGATCAGGATGTTCCGGTGGCTGTGTACAGGAACATTGACGTGATCAAGAGTGGAGGTGTAGAGATGCGTGGCTTGAAGGCGACGCTAGCTCCAAAGCGTTCGGGATCTCAGGCTCCACCGACGCTTGAGAAATATGTCTTCGTTCCGAATTTCAACGAAAAGGAACTGGCAGAGGGTGGAGAGAAATCGAGATTCCGGTCGATTTCCACAGCAGTTCACATGGCTATTGAAAATAGCGCTGGTGCGCTGAAGATTAAGGTAGCCGAGGCGTGCTTCCAGCGAGCTCCGGAAAATACCATGGCTGCTACAGTTCAGTCAGTCATTGAAAGCGAACCAACGCTGGTAAGTGACGTGGCGGTTGTCACCAACTACCAGCCTGAATCTCTTACGCAGCACTTTGGCGACAATGGTGTCCGTGTAGTGGTAAAAGATGCTACTGCTGGACCCATTGAACAGGGTTGTCACTTTGTAGTCTCCTACGATATTCTTGGTCGCCCTGATGGTCAAACGGTACTTAGCAATCTTCGCGAATCAATTCGAGATGACGGTTTCCTGTTCTTGGAAGAATCTCGCACCAACTTTGATGCCACTAAAAAAGGAAAGACTCTGTTCGATTCGTTGAACCTGACGACCGTAACGTACCAATACTTCGACAAAAAGGTGTTCGTACTACTCCGTCCAACCGTCAAATACGAGCTGCGCAAGAGCACCGTCATCCAGGTTACCGAAAAGAACTTCACATGGGTGGAGCCAATGAAGACAGCTCTGGCGAAGGCCGAAGAAACCAACACCTTTGTGTACCTTGTTTGCCAGGGTGAGGAACTGTTTGGCGCTCAAGGTTTCATTAATTGTATCAAAAACGAAACTGGTGGCAAATTCGCCCGGATGGTCTTTATTCAGGACAAACGAGCGGAGAAGTTCTCTCTGACCGGGAAGTCCTACGTTGATCAGCTGAGAAAGGATCTGATTTGTAATGTAATGATCGCGAGTGGTGTTTGGGGTAGCTTCCGTCATCTGAGACTGGACAACCAAACCAACGGAACGTCACTGCAGGTTGAGCATGCGTACGTTAATGCTCTGACAAAGGGCGACTTGGCGAGCTTGAAGTGGATCGAGGGACCTCTGTCGCGCGACAGACCTGATCCGAAGGATAAGAAACAGCAATTATGCACCGTCTACTATGCTCCAATCAACTTCCGTGACGTCATGCTGATGTCTGGAAAGCTGGGTGTGGATGCCTTGCCCGGAGATCTACCTACACAGGATTGCATTCTGGGATTGGAGGCAAGTTATTTGCATGGTGAATACGAACCTTATGATCTTATAATTTCTATTTCTACAGTTCTCTGGTCGTGATTCTGCCGGTCATCGCATAATGGCTATGGTTCCGGCTAAATCATTGGCAACCACATGTGTAGCCCACCGGAACATGATGTGGGAGATTCCGGATGATTGGACAATGGAGCAAGCATCCACCGTTCCCTGCGTATATTCCACGGTTTACTACGCGTTGGTTGTGCGTGGTCGCATGAAGCGTGGTGAATCTATTTTGATCCACGCCGGTTCCGGAGGTGTGGGACAGGCTGCAATCTCCGTAGCTCTTGCTGCAGGGCTGACAGTCTTCACCACTGTCGGCAGTAAGGAAAAGCGTGAGTTCCTGAAGCGTACCTTCCCGAAGTTGCAAGACACCCACATTGGTAACTCCCGAGATTGTTCGTTTGAGCAGATGGTTATGCGTGAGACGCAAGGTCGTGGTGTTGATTTGGTACTGAACTCGTTGTCCGATGAGAAACTACAGGCTTCGGTACGATGCCTGGGATTGAATGGGCGATTCTTGGAAATTGGCAAGTTCGATTTGAGTAATAACAGTCCATTGGGTATGTCGGTGTTCCTGAAGAATACATCGTTCCACGGAATTCTGGTTGACAGCATAATGGACGGCGATGATGACGTACTTGCCGAAGTGGTGCGATTGGTGTCGGAGGGTATCAAGACCGGTGCGGTTCGCCCACTGCCAACTAGCGTGTTTGGCGATCAGCAAGTAGAACAAGCCTTCCGGTAAGAGATTTTGTTGATAAGTGAAAGGTTAAAATTAAACGCAATTGCATTATTTTTCTTCAGATTTATGGCTTCCGGTAAGCACATCGGAAAAGTGGTCCTCAAGATCCGAGACGAAGAGAAGTCAAAGGTTGTCGTTCCGTCACCGAAGCAGATTTCGGCCATCCCTCGCACTTACATGCACAAGGAAAAGAGCTACATCTTGATCGGTGGATTGGGAGGGTTCGGTCTTGAACTAGCAAACTGGATGGTCTTCCGCGGAGCAACGAAGATCGTTTTGACATCTCGTAGCGGAGTCCGTACCGGATACCAAGCGCTGATGATTAAGCGGTGGACCGAGCGTGGCGTGAAGGTTTCGATCGACACGAATGATGTGACGACACTGAAGGGAGCGCAGAAGCTGTTGCAGGCAGCTAATAAGCTGGGACCGGTTGGCGGTGTGTTCAATTTGGCAGCTGTGCTTCGGGATGGCCTGTTGGAGAATGCCACCGAAGCTGACTTTAAGACTGTTTGTGTGCCTAAGATTGACGGAACGAAGAACTTGGATCAAGCTACCCGAGAATTGTGTCCGGATTTGGATTACTTTGTGTGCTTCTCTAGCGTTTCTTGCGGTAGAGGAAACATCGGTCAGGTGAACTACGGTTTGGCTAATTCAGCTATGGAGCGTATTTGCGAAGCACGGCAGGCAGTTGGTTTGCCAGGAACTGCAATTCAGTGGGGTGCTATTGGAGACACTGGATTGGTGCTGGAGAACTTGGGTGATAACGATACAGTCGTGGGCGGAACCCTGCCACAGAGAATGCCATCCTGTCTGCAAACAATGGACTTCTTCATGCAACAACCTTGTCCGGTGTTGGCTTCGATGGTTGTGGCAGAGAAACGAAAGGCTGAAACCGGTGGTGTTGGACTGGTAAGCTGTGTTGCCAACATCCTTGGTCTAAAGGACACCAAGAACGTGTCAGACTCGGCTACTCTGGCCGACCTTGGTATGGACTCTCTGATGGGCGCTGAAATTAAACAAACTCTTGAACGGAACTTCGATACCGTCTTGAGCGCAGCGGAAATTCGTATGCTCACATTCGGTCGCCTGAAAGCTCTGGAAAGTGGTGGCGCTGATGCACCTGGAACTCCTGCTCCTCCAACGGCTGCTTCACCTGAACCACAGCAACAGGACCAGAGCGGTCTTGGAGATGGAACTCAGGTCAGATTCAGTGCAGATCTCATGCCAACGGAATGTCTAGTTCGGTTGGAATCGAAAACCTCCGCCACCAGCAAGGACCGTCCAGTGTTTATGGTGCACGCCATCGAAGGTGTCATCACGTCTCTGATTCCTCTGGCACAAACCCTCCCAGTTCCTGTCTATGGTCTCCAGTGTGTGGCTGAAGCTCCGCTGCAATCTTTGGAAACCTTAGCTGATTACTACATCAAGCAAATGCGAACGGTGCAACCGAAGGGTCCTTATACCATCGTAGGTTACTCGTTCGGTGCTTCAGTTGCATACGAAATGGTCGCCCAGTTGGAGAATGCCAAAGAAACGTGCCGGTTACTAATGCTGGACGGTTCGCCACGGTATATCGCCGGCTACACGGATGCCCAAAAGCAGCGCATCGACAATGGAGAAGCTCTGCAGGCGGAAGATGAAGCTTACGCGCTAGCATTCTTCGCCATGGTGTGCGGTAAGCTGGATTACACCAAGACTGCCCAGGAGCTGATTGCTCCGAAAACGTGGGAAGCTCGAGTGCAAAAGTGCGCCGAAATGGTTCGCGTGCGGACACCACAATACTCACAAAAATTGGTAGGTTCCCGGACTGAAAATCTCCCAAATAAAGCAATCCAATCCAATCCATACACCTGATTCCACTAACCGATATAACTATCTACATTACAGCTTGAAACGGCAGCGGAGTCGTTTGTGCACAAAATTGTCGCCGGCCATCTGTACAAACCTACTTCCAAGATCAGCGCCCCGGTGAAACTGGTGAAACCTACCGAAAACTATGCCAAACTGCAAGGCGACTACGGTCTATCAGAGGTTAGCATTCATACAATCGGAATCAATGAATTGCTAATTTTAACAACTATAATTTCCATTCTTTCATCACAACAGCTCTGCACGAAGGATGTGAAAGTAACGACAGTGAAAGGCGACCATCGATCCATGCTGGCGGGTGACTCGATGTTAGTAATCTCCAAACTTCTCCACGAGCTGCTGTAAAGGGTGCGTTTAGCGGATCAGCCATCTCTCATATGCATTACAATACAACATTAAACACACATCCATCGGTGTCCGATACAACACACATCCACACACGTCCTAGCAGCACTTCGGATGAGTGAGAGTCAGAAGAAAATCGTAATTTATTTTCGTTCTTTTGTGTATAGTTCAAATTTACTTCCCCCTCTTTTTTATATTAATTTAGCATAAGACGGTTTGCATTGGGCAAAAAGCTAGATTGGCACTTTTAACACAAGCGTGATTTATATAAGCTAGTAGGATGCAGTTCAAAGAATACTGACACTAGACGTCTGAGCCAGGTCCAAGGTCAGGGGTAGTGCCACTATTCTTTGCTGTAGGTAATTGACTTTTGACAATTTGTAAAGTAAAAAAGTGATAGTGATCGCATGTTAGTGATTAGTTGCCTTCTTTCTGGGAAGCAGAAACTTCAACATGAACATTTAAAATCCTGATCTGTTTATAAAAAAAAAATAATGTTAGTTGCATAGCAGAGAACATTCCACTCCTAGAGTATCTATTTTTTCTTCTTTAACATAATACTTTGTCTATTAAGTAGGTTTTAGTCAGCAGATGGGATTATATTCCTTGCAAATATTTGAAAATTACTTGTAAAAACAAAACACCCAAAAACTAATTGTTTTACATCACAAAAATAAATGACAAAATAAATCAAAGGGAAATATCAACCATGTGTACCAAATTATTCTGTCTTCGACGACTTTATGAAACGTAAACACAGTTTTACATAACAGGGGCATCCAGGTTTAGTATGTAAGGACCATACAACATAATTCAAAAGTAACTCTACAACTCACTAACAAAAACCAAGCATCATATTTACGTGATTAAACAAAGAACAGATACTCAAAAGATCACTCCACTCAGTTAGTGTTGCTGTGTATTCACACGAACTTAAATGTTTTCTGCACAACTTTTACCGTGAGATGGTATTTGCACAATGAAAACCCTAACTAATCGAAGCACCAATATAACTAACAGCTAGCTGATAACTACTAATGTGAATGTCTGACAAGGAAGAAAATTATTTGTACCTAACGCTACGAAAACATATGAAAAAGAGACACGGTACCGTGGACACAGGTTGAATAGTTGGAATATAGTGTATATTTGAATGCAAATAAACATTCAAGGAACACAACCTAATAGCGTTTCATTTTCATTGCTTTACTACCTATTTTTATTAGTTTATGTAGGTATTTCATTGCGAGGAGCCGAGCGGTTATCGTGACCGCGCCTAATTCTGCGCATTTCAAACTAATAGGGGAAATGGATGTAATGTCGGTCTAAATGCCCCTAATTTGGGCCCATACATAAATTCAGCAACCGACTAAATGTTCAATAGCGACCTAAAATATTCATTTGTACCGTCCCAATGACGCGTTCATCTAGATAAAATTGAAAAATAGCGATGGACCCAATCTTAGATCCATAGGCCAACATTAGAGACATTTCCCCTATTATTTTCCCTCCTTCCCAGCAGCAGTAGCTATTGAAAAAAAAACACAAATACCATAATATTGATTTTAAATATATATTTTTATGGATTTGATAATTTTAGGCTTCATAGAATATGCTTTGTTCTACACACTTAGGTTTTTCTACCTTTTCTACCACATACCTACCTAGGTATGTGTGACCGCTTATACATTTCATTTGACACATGATCTTCATTAACTTTTTGCAAGGCGTCTGCTTATTAGTTGACTTATACATTTTATTAATAAGGGCCCATGCATTAATTATGTCTTTATGTGGGTACTTTTTTCTAACCGTGTACTAGACCCTCTCTAGATCTATACCCATCTCCAGCTCAGATAAACAACTGGCAGAGTCCGTTATACCCGTTCACATTACAGCGTATATCACGTGATATACGATGTCTTGCAATGAGCACTCATACATCTAGTTTTCACTGGAAATCCTATGTATGAGTGCTCATTGCAAGACAGCCTATATTACGTGATATAGGCTGTAATATGAACGGGGTCATAGTCTGTCCAGGGTATTAGAATGGTAATTTGCGTCTTGCGTGGAGTGTTGAGTGTTATATAGGTTGAGGGCGTAGGCTTCTGCTGGAAAGACGCTGCAGTATCTTGGCAGGGCTTCATATTTGATGACGCCTATTCCAAAACGGCCTGCGCTGACTGTATCGTCGCCTTTGAATCCGTCAGTGTAGAGCAGGGTGCGTCCCTGAAAACGTCGCTCGGTTGGTTACCTCTTGTACGGACGAACTTTTTCTGGGGGTCCTAGTATACTTTTTGACGCCCCAGATCGTTGGTTTTGGAACATGCCATTCGCGGTATGTGTTCCTATGATGTTGGCAGATTTGGGGGATAGTTGCATTGGTTTCTTCGGTGAAAAGCTCTGCTGTTATTTGGACGACTGGGAGATCAGAAGCACCGCTAGTTTTCTCCAGAACGTGCTAATGACTGTACTGCCGCTATTCGCATAACAGTTCTATGTAGATAGGAAATCCATAGGACATGGGACTGTTAAGCTGGGTTTAGATAGGGCAAGTCAAATGATCAACTCAGTTGAATTCAATTGGCTTGAAAAGTTGAGCCTGGTTCAACTTTTTTCAATTCAAGTGAGTTGATCAAGTCAGTTGAATGGCATGGTTTACACGTTCAATTCGTGTTCAAGTCAGTTGAATTCAACTGACTTGATCAATTGACTTGCCCTATCTAAACCCAGCTTTATGCGAATAGCGGCAGTGTAGGACCAGCAAGTCGAACGGTATCACGCCAGCCTCGGCCATGAACAAGCGTGGGGCTAATGCCGAAGGCTCCGGATGCGCGTCTGATCATCTAGTTGTAAGTTGAGAATAGTATTTTAAGAACCATGTATCCTCCTCTGCTGACTACACCCATTCCATACACGGTAGCCCCAAAATACCCAATAATGACTACAAAGTAAGCATTTTCGAGGGAAACTGGGCCTACCCATTGAATGAGTTAAATTTTACAATAATAGGTTGTTAAGAACCATAACGGAGTTGTCCCACAGCTGTCTACAGCAGCAGTCGATTGTTTATTTCGGTGTGAAAAAATCGTCAATACAGAAAATACAGATTTTTTAATAGAGTGGATACAGATTTTTTATAAAACAACCTGACAGCTCTGACCCACGCGATAGCCTGTTTTCGAGACTCGCTATTATATAGTTGCTCTTTGTTTGTTGCTAGCAGTTCGGTGCCTTTTGTTGCTACGGTGCAAGATGTGTGAAGTAAAAAACACCATCAAGTTTAGCTTCAGCCACCATGATGCTAAACCAAACATCGGAGAGATTGTAAATTTCGCCAAAACACTCGACGCGGATCCTGCCGAAATGGAAGCTGTTTATCGCATTGGTGAGGAAAGGGGAGTATTCATGAAGTTCAAATCAGAGGAAGCGATGCTCCATGCTCTGACGTTCAATTCGGAGGATTTAATATTCCATTATGCGAATGGAACGACGGCGAAGGTACGCATGTCGCATGCTGGTGAATTCATCCAGTATGTGCGTGTGTATGACTTGCCACCAGAGGTACCGGACAACGAGCTGGATAAAGTGCTGGGGAAATATGGAAAAATTAAACGCATCATCCGGGAGAAATTTCCATCTGATCTGTGCTTTGAGGTATATACAGGGATACGCGGTATATATATGGATGTGAAGAAGGAAATCCCCACGTCATTATATTTCTTCAATCGCAAAGTAAATATATTGTATGATGGCAATAAAGATAAATGTTTTCTGTGCAAGGCGAACGTACACCGGAAGCTTTCCTGCCCCAAGCGGAAGGCTCGGAAGGTACCTGAGAAGCAACTTAAGGAAAAAGGAAAGCAAAGGGAAAGAAAACAAAACAGCAGCAGTAGTAGTGGTGGAAGGTGCGTCCCGCATAAACGCGAACCATAAATTGACCTTACCTAAAATGGTTAAAAATTGTTTATAATCCCTGCTAAACTTTAACTGAAATGGTTATGGAACTTTACATGAACGTTTAATGATAAAGTTTCAACCTTATGTATTATGGTTTTTTGGAACTGGACCTTACAAATAATGGGTTGTTAAGAACCATTACCGTTCCAAATTCTTGTTTTCTCCATACATTTTCGGAAAGAGAACTATATTAGAACCTTTTAACTTATGGTTTGAGAACTTTAATGGTTATGGTTATGGTAGTCAGTAAGGTCCACGAATGGTTTTGTAACATCGATTAACTTTATGTGGAATATATCGCGAATTGGTTGCCTGTAATTTACTGATTACCAATTCACGATATATTCCACGTAAAGTTGAGCGATAATACAAAACCATTAATGGACCTTACTGACTACCATAACCATTACCATTAATGTTCTCAAATCATAAGTAAAAACGTTCTTATATAGTTCTCTTTCTGAAAATGTATGGAGAAAACAAGAATTTGGAATGGTAATGGTTCTTAACAACCCATTATTTGTAAGGTCCAGTTCCAAAAAACCATAATACATAAGGTTAAAACTTTATCATTAAACGTTCATGTAAAGTTCCATAACCATTTCAGTTAAAGTTTAGCAGGGATTATAAACAATTTTTAACCATTTTAGGTAAGGTTAATTTATGGTTCGCGTTTATGCGGGGTCGTTTGTCATTAGCAACCAGGAAACGGACACGAGGTTGGAGATGGAGTTGGAAATGGACGTGACGACCCCGACGACCGACGAGAGTAGCGGAGTGCATGCAACGGGAAACGACGTTCAGAAGCAGCAGCATTGATCACGATTCGGGTTCAATGAAAATGAGGAACAAATTCGGGAAAGAAAGAAGTTGCGTGCACGGGAGAAGATCGCTTTGTCGCCGCTTCGATCGCCACCCAGAAAAATCCTGTGATAAAAAGCATTTTTATATATATATTCTTTTTTGTATTTTGAGTACCAAAATTGGTATTCCATGTTACTCGGCTCCGCTAAGTTATTTTTATAACATTTGAGCCTTCCAAATAAACGAAAAAAAAAACGGCGCCGGTGGTGTAGTGGTAAGCGTGATTACCTCTCACCCCAGCAGGCCTGGGTTCAATCCCAGTCGGCGCCGCCGGGATGTTCTGAGGCATAACATCTCTGATCACGCCTTCCTTCGGATGGGAAGTAAAGCCGTTGGTCCCCGGTTCATGAGTTGATGGGTCGATAGGTAGGGTCCAGGTGTGGGAGCTGCCTTCCTGGCACGTCGGTAGCATTGGTGCTCAGCACGGAAAACAAGATCGACGGAAAAAACAAACCAAAAGGAAAAAAAAAAAATAATAAACGAAATGAAAAAAAAAAGAACCATAACTATTCAAAATAGTTGTTTTTTCCATACATTTTCGGAAAGAAAACTATATTAGAACCTTTTGTACTTTTGGTTTAAGCATAGAGGTAACTCTAAGACTAGTAGCATAGAGGTAACTCTAAGACCACTGGGTCCCGAAGAAAATCATTATTATTTTTGGCTCACTCAGTACCAGAACAACGGTCCCAAGCAGTCCCAAGCTATTTCACTCACCCCTGCATGTTCTGCATAAATCCACACACCCCTGATGTTATCTGTCAAACTTTCATAGCGAATCAAAACAAACATAGTGTAGTAATAGAATTTCAACTAGAATAGGGTACGTTAATCGTTTGCTTGGGACCAATAGGCTACTAAAGTGGTGAGACAATTTAAAATCGTTAGTTTCGTATTGATTGTTGGTTTAAGTACTTTAATGGTAATGGTTATGGTAGTCAGTAGATGGTTTTGTATTATCGGTCAACTTTATGTGGAATGCATCGCGAATTGGTAGTCATTAATATAAAGGCAACCAATTCGCGATATATTCCACATAAAGTTGATCGATATCGATGTTTTTTTTTTAGACTTTATTTTTGAGATTTTTAACCGTAGGCTAGTTCATCTCGTCCATGAAAGGTGGGGCCTCAGAAGGAGGACCCCCAACAGAGTAGTGTTTTACCAACAATCAATACGAAACTAACGATTTTAAATTGGCTCACCACTTTAGTAGCCTATTGGTCCCAAGCAAACGATTAACGTACCCTATTCTAGTTGAAATTCTATTACTACACTATGTTTGTTTTGATTCGCTATGAAAGATTGACAGATAACATCAAGGGTGTGTGGATTCATGCAGAACATGCAGGGGTGAGTGAAATAGCTTGGGACTGCTTGGGACCGTTGTTCTGGTACTGAGTGAGCCAAAAATAATAATGATTTTCTTCGGGACCCAGTGGTCTTAGAGTTACCTCTATGGTTTTACAGTGTTTACTTCAATCGAAAATTGGTTCCTGGCTCGATCGTACATTTACACAACCAATTAAAGACACAACTTTAAAATCTGAATAAGACAGAGCTCCACACCGGGGGAACTGGGAGGGCCCCCACCAGTCAGAGATGTCCCAACAGCCGAAAAAAATTGAAAAAGACCAAACTTTAAAATACAATGCAGCATCCTTTAAAAAGCGCATTACTGCTGCCAGTGTGGAGGGATCATCACCCAGCATGTCGCGTATGCTATTTATGCTACTGAGGGCATACGCATAGAATGTGCTCGATTGAGGCTGGAGTTCTACAACCGACGCAAGTTCTGTGGAACGGCGTTCCACTGAAATTGTGCGAGATCTTGGTGTGACCGGTCCCCAAACGCGACGCTATCTTCTGATCCCGCTGGTTCAACTGTTCTGCCCGTTTCCTCGTCGTCCCTTTGATCCGTCTGATGAAGAGGGAGCGGTTTTGGGCCCACTCTGCGTCCCAAGCTTCCCGTACTTTGCTCACGATCCAGCGCTTGACATCGTGTAACGGTACTTCGTTGGTATAGCGAGGGGCAGATGGTCAGCCAGAAAGTCAGCTTCAGTGTTGCCTGGTATTCCGCAGTGCCCAGGAACCCAGCAGAATACCGTGTTTGGTGGCGCGGACTTCATCGTCGCCTGTACCCAGGGTTGAGTCGGGGTCTCGGATGTCAGGGCTTGTATGACGCTGTGCAAATCCGTTAGGACCAGGATCGGTCGGTCGGAGAGCGTTTAGCAGCGATGAAGATGGCAGCAGTTTCAGCAAAGAAAACAGAACATTGCGGCGGTAAGTTGCAGCTGGTTGGTGTGATGTTTCCGGCTAGACCGATACCGACCCCGGCTCGAGAGCGAGATCCGTCCGCTTATCGGTGAGTTGCGTGGGGTATTTTTCTCCTAACATTTCAGCTACAGTCCTTTTCATGGCCTCGGAATTGTCTCCGGCTTTGAACCTGTCCTTAATCCGGCTTTCGATTTTTGGTAATAGTGTTTGCCATCATTTGTCTCCATGCCAGTGGACCCTGACCACTGGGGGAGATCTTCGTTGGCAGTCGTGCGGAGGAGTCTGTTCGCCTCGTCGTGGAGGAAGATCCCTTGATTTCCGGATATCTTCGAGATGAAAGCAACGGCTTTGGTTGCGATAGCTGCGGTTATACGGAAGCGGAAAGGCGGGAAGAAGGAAGGAGCGTCCAGAAGGTATAGGAATATTGTGACGAAAAGAGGGGGGGGGGGGGATTTTCCTTAAATTTGCGTTACGTTCTAAATGAATGCTCCCTTTTAAAATGTATGCCAGTCCCTATTCTTTTGATCATTTCGGATAAAAAATAAGCACCTATTTCATTCAGCAAACCGTTTAATCTTTGAATTACATATAGGTAATAAATTCCCGACTGAAATTAAACAATTCAACTGGTCGAAAGTACGGTACTATTACAAAATCTTTTGTTAAGTGCGAATCATAAACTTATGAATATTGACTGGTCTTCTGGATGACTTCTTTTACCAGGTGCATTAGTTAAAACGAATGCAGTTATTACTGATAACTGCTAAAACTGATACTGATAAAATTAAAGGAATGTTACAACTGGTAACGAATACTATCAAATTATACATAAACGGTGCATTTTGTTCTTTCAGCTCAAATTTCCGTATTGAGGTTGAAAACTTCAGCTTTTCAAAATGTTATTATACTGACTATAGATTTGTCTATTGGTGTGGCTCCTTAAGATATGGTTTAAAATTCAACTGATTCAATTTGACATAAGTATTTTTCAAAGCATTGTCAATACTGCTAAATAATAATATTTTGATAATAGATATGACTGGATATTACCCCTTCAAAATTGCAAAAAAATATTTAAACCATTTGAAACATAACGATTGCAGTGGCATAGGCAATTTAAAAATTAAATAACATTTAAAAATGAAATAAAGTGTCCCTGAAAAGTACTGATTTCAATACGAATCATACAATATAAACTGTAATGTGAATAGAAGAAAATCAGCGTATTCAAATCATCTCGGGTCCATCATCTTCCTGAAGGGAAAATTGCGGATCACCCATGGCATGTTCTTTGTTGCACGTGAACGAAATCGTTATCGCATAGCGGACTCCTGCCGTGACCTGTTCCACCTGGTGGAGGTTTTCGGCTCCGGATGTGAACCCACTGATCCTGCCCCGTTTCGGTTCGATGTATACGTTTGTTTTGTTATGCTTACCGGCACTATCGATGAAGACAAATCTTCCTCCGGTGAAGTCCTTTCCGAAATCGGTTAGATACAGCAGTGTGGTATAGTGGAACGAACTGTACGTTTCCTTGTCCACATGGGGATGCCAATACTCGTCATGGATCGTTGTGGCCGTTTCGTTGGTAAGCCGCGAGAAAAATGTTGGATGAGTCAAAAACAATGAATCCTTATTGATTTTGAAATTCTCGCTAACTGCCTGTTGTACCTTGTCCTTGACGTGTTTGTACGTATTGATGTGCTCGGCGGAAAATATCTGTTTTGCTTCCGGAATTTTGTAAATGTTGATGAATTGAGTATCTTTCGAAAGCGCACCTGAATGAAGGTCCAATATTGATGCTCCCCCCGAGGAGCGACCGAAACGAAAACCGGATTTTGCCAGATTCAATAAAATATCGACTTCAGCTGGTCCAACAATCTTGTCACTTACGAAACGACCGCAGTGGGCAGGAATGCACCCGGCATACTTGGCAATTTCTTCAAAGTACAAAGTAGAGCAATCCAACTTCTGTGTCCGCAGCTCCAGCGTCTCTCGTTGCGTTGCAAATTTCTTTTCTCTGGTTCGAAAAGTTGTGAAGTATACAACCACGGCAATTCCAACAATCATGACCACCCGTGCCCACATTCGATTATGCTGGTTGGCTCCTGGGAGACTCTGTGGGATTTTCCTAAAAAAAAACAAAAATAATAATATAACACCAGTTTGTCTGGATGTTTCTCAGAATTATTCTGAGAAACAACCAGACAAACTGGTGTTAAATCGATCGCTCGGCAGAAAAAACAATCACGCAATAATAGTATATTATAAATTCGTCAACTAAACGGTAATAATACTTACACCTTCCGAGGTTTTGCATCACCGGATGCGGTCTTCTTCCGCTGCCGAACACTGGATTCACTCATTGTCCACACAATTTTGGGAGGAATGGATTTCAATTTCGGATGAAAATTTCGTCTAAGGATTCACAGTCCTGCTGTCAAAAGGATTTTAGAATCAATCGATAATCGAGAACCACATCAGATTCATCCGGATTGAAGCTAAAGATGTGTTTGTGGTAGAGAACCACACAAACACACGTAGAAATTACCGGCGCAAAAAAACAGACTACCGTATATGTGTTGGTAATTTGTTTATGTTTATGTTTACATTTTCATTGCCCCTGTGGCTGTTGGTATAAGGTTTTGCACCGTCGTGTTTATCTTCTGGGGAGGATTGACCTGAAAACACGGGAGTGGAACTTTAGGCCCAAGCGCAATGGCAGCGGAAGCGGAACGGCAGTGGCAGCGGAAAAGCCCGCTCTGAGTAAGCCTACTTGTCGGATTGAAAACTAGTTACAACCAAATCGACTTCGGTTAGGCATCTTGATGTTATGTGTGACAATTGTTAAACTGCCGTTTCCGTTCCGCTTCCGCCCACATTGCGTTTGGGCCTTTTGGATCAGAAAGTGGCTCCATTTGTCATTTGTGAACACTAGTGCACCTAGCGGTAGAAGGCATCTTCTGCCTGCAGTTAAGATAGGCAGCATGCTATAATAGCATAGAGGTAGCTCCAAGACCAGAAGGTCCCGAAGAAACGAGCCCAACTTTTTGGCTCAGCTCTGGTACTATCTTCGGTCCCAAGCTAATCGATTCACCCCTCGAACCATACGAAAATCTAATAACCCCTCATTTTATCTGTCAAACTTTCATAGCGAATCAAAACAAACATAGTGTAGTAGTAGAATTTCGACTAGAATGGGGTACGTTAGTCGATTTGCTTGGGACCAATAGGCTAGTCAAGTAGTGAGCCAATTTAAAATCGTTAGTTTCGTATTGATTGTTGGTTATAACATGTTATAGCGCTATCTTGATGCTGGTTTCTGTGTTGCAATTATTTGACAACCGTTATAACATGTTATAACTCTCCAGTCTGGACAGCGTTTTAGCTTGGGACCGAAGATAGTACCAGAGCTGAGCCAAAAAGTTGAGCTCGTTTCTTCGAGACCTTCTGGTCTTAGAGTTATCTCTATGGTATAAGACAGGGGCTACATTGCGCATCTCGAAACAAAAACTTTTTCATAAGCGTTCGTAATGCCTTGTTCAGACTACAGAGTTATAACATGTTATAGCGCTATCTTGATGGTGGTCTCTGTGTTGCAATTATTTGACAACCGTTATAACATGTTATAACTCTCCAGTCTGAACAAGGCATAAAAGTCTTTCGTTTCGAGATTCACAATGTGACCCAGTTGCGAACTGTGAGAACCTTTCCTCGTCTTTCCACTTTTAATATCCAGCCTAGGGCTAAATAGCCTGAATTTATAAAGAGACGACATGTCAAAATTGGAACAATCGATTGTCTGTCAAAGTCATAGGAAAAGTTATTCCAATCGAGCAGGAAACCCGCATAAGCGCGAACCATAAACTGACCTTACCGATAATGATTATAAATTGTTTATAATCCCTGCTAAACTTCAACTGAAATGGTTATGGAACTTTACATGAACGTTTAATGATAAAGTTTTAACCTTAAGTATTATAGTTTTTTGGAAGTGGACCTTACAAATAATGGGTTGTTAAGAACCATTACCATTCCAAATTCTTGTTTTCTCCATACATTTTCGGAAAGAAAACTTTACTAAAACCTTTTAACTTATGGTTTAAGAACATTAATGGTAATGGTTATGGTAACCAGTAAGGTCCATTAATGGTTTTGTAACATCGATCAACTTTATGTGGAATATATCGCGAATTGGTTGGCTGTAAATTACTGATTACCAATTCACGATATATTTCACGTAAAGTTGAGTGATAATACAAAACCATTAATGGACCTTACTGACTACCATAACCATAACCATTAATGTTCTCAAACCATAAGTAAAAACGTTCTAATATAGTTCTCTTTCCGAAAATGTATGGAGAAAACAAGAATTTGGAATGGTAATGGTTCTTAACAACCCATTATTTGTAAGGTCCGCTTCCAAAAAACCATAACACATAAGGTTAAAACTTTATCACACAAACGTTCATGTAAGGTTCCATAACCATTTCAGTTGAAGTTTAGCAGGGATTATAAACAATTTATAACCATTATCGGTAAGGTCATGTGATGGTTCGCGTTTATGCGGGAACCTGTCAAATTGATAAGATGTCGCCTCTTTATAAATTCAGGCTCTTTACCTAGGGCCGAGAGTTCAGCGTGAAGTCATTTGATTTGCTGTTGTGGGCCCGCTGGTCACGTAGAGTGATATGTGGCCTACGCGATAACGTCCTGCCACTGGGTGGTTAATTGGGTTCTTTAATTTTTAAAAATGCATTGTTTTTTATACATCATCTGAAAGAGCGTCGTTTTCGGAGCACAGCGATATTTTTTTCGAACCCACACACTTTCACTTCGATTTTTAAATCAAGATATAAAGCAAAATAACAACTTCTCTGTTTGACACTAAACTCACAAACTGACAGCTCGCTCCCATACAAAGTGACACTGAGGGGCGCTAATAAGGTGATTTTTGCAAATGTGATCGTACTTATTCAAAATAGTTCCAGTGTGCCAAAATCGATGAAATTTTGGGTTTGGGTTCCATTTTTAATGCAGATTACGATTATGCATTTACCTCAATACCCTTAAAGAACCCAATTTTGATCGGATTCAATTTTGACGCTGACGCTGACGCTAACGCAGGATCATGGCTCCCGCTTTAGAATTCCGCACGTAGCAAGTTCAGTTACAGGGCGTAATGAGTTATCAGTTAAACGTCAAATATCCATTGTTTGGGTTTAATTTCATCGAAGTTTTGTGTAATTTATTTCTGCTTTTTTATGCGTTTCCAGCGTTTGGATAATCTAAAATTCACGTCTTTATCGCGTTCCACATTCAAAAATAATGGACCAGGTAAGTTACCTGTAGTTGCGGTGTTAAGTTGGATTTAAAGCTTCCAAAATTGACCTTGACAAATACTCTCTTGATTTCACCGTAGTACGATCCGGAGTCGGCCGATTCGTGCAGTCTGACGGAGGAAGAAGTTGAACCGAAGCTCAAATACGTAAGGCTATCGAATGATCTGAAAAACATTCTCAGTGAGGAAGCGGTCAGCTGTATTGCGGTCCATTCCAAGGTAGGCTCGGATAACCTCCCACAAACGCCCCAACCGCTGGCTGACTATCTGACGGATTAGTCATCATCGAAAGGATAAACAGCTGATGCATGTTAGTTTCTCTTTTTTAATGTTATGCTTGTATTTCACTTGCACAGTTTCTCTGCTTGGGAACCCACTGGGGACGGATTCACATGCTGGACCATCAAGGAAATCGAGTAGATATACCTATCAATATGAGACAAAATCCACATACTTTGTCGGTGAACAAGATTGCAGTGGACAGCAAAGGAGAGCACATAGCAACCTGTTCCGACGATGGAATGGTCATCATCAGCGGTCTTTGTACCGATGAAAATAATCAAAAGTTGAAGGTCGACAAGGTGATTAAAGCTGTGGAGCTGGATCCGATGCACCACAAGTCAGGGTCGGGAAGACGTTTTCTAATAGGTGAACGACGAGTATGGGTACAGTTTTGCACCATATATTGACTTGCATTATTTTTCAGGTGACAATAAGCTGGTTCTTTACGAGAAAACATTTTTGAAAGGCCTGAAACCAACGATACTGAGCGATTCGGAGGGACCGGTTAGTGCCATCAAGTGGAATGGGCAATTCATTGCCTGGGCAAGTTCTTTGGGAGTTCACGTGTACGATTTGAATGAGCGATGCTCACTGGGACTGATCAAATGGGAAGAACCAAAAGAGTAGGTGGCTGTAATGTTGGCATCAATTAATAGTGTTTGATGAATTGTTTGTTCTACAGCGGTAGATTGACGGACTTTCGTTGTAATTTGAACTGGTCCAATCAGACTACGTTGCTCATTGGATGGGTTGATACAATAAGGATTTGTGTAATCAGAAAACGAAATCCTATTGAAGTTTCGACCCGGAACCTTCCTACCTACATTGTAGATCCTAGTAAGTAATGAAATTGGCAATCACTCAAATAGGCTTCGGTAATGTACTAATTCATTTTATTACAGTGTCAACATTCCAAACCGAATTCTACGTTTGTGGCATAGCGCCGCTGGAAAGTCACCAACTGGTTGTTTTGGGGTTTTCGAAGGAGCGAGATTCGGAAACGAACAAGGCCCTACGTCCGATTCTGTGCGTGTTACAGTTTAAAGCTAGCGATTATATCGAAATATGCACCGATAGTCTCTCGATGAGGGGGTAATTTTTCGACATTTATGTGCAGTAAGTTTTTGTTTGCAACTAATAAGTATTACTTTATAGACACCAGGAATACAAGTGTGACGATTATCATTTGGATTGCTTGATCGAGGAAAATCAGTATTTCATAGTTTCTCCGAAGGATGTAGTAGTGGCCAGTCTGTATGAAACGGATGATCGCGTCCAGTGGTTGATTGAGCACGGGTGAGTACAGAAGATGTTTTCTATAATCCGTTAGAACCTTTCGACCACAATATTTGGTTGGATCTGTGAAAGCGATCCTATCTTGATTTGACCCAGAGTGAGTCTTATGCACATAAGTAGATGAAATAATTGAAATTGCATTTGGAGGGCTGTTCATAAACTACGTATACAGATTTGGAGAGGTTTTAGATACCCCTCCTCCCCGCATAGGCAATCGTTCACACAAACTTTTGAAAATTTGTTTAGACCGTAGGCACTTGCCAAGCCCCCTTTCCTCCCTAAAGTGTCTACCGTGGAAGCACCATATTTGACGCGGGTCCAAACTTGACGCACTTTCCAATCAATTCGATCATAACTCCTGTTTCGGTTTGAATTGCACCGAAATTGTAATTTTCTGTCCTTTGTTTACACTCATGCCACCCATTCATAACAAAAAACATACTTTGTTTATTGCTAATAAGAGCAATCAAAACAGGGTGGCCAGACCTACCGATTTATCGGTAGTCCTACCGATTTTCGGGATGCCTACCGATTCACAGACGAAAGGTTCAAAACTACCGATTTTTCATTTTTCCTACCGATAATCACAGATTTTTAGTAATCTTGAAAAATGTTCAATACCTGTGTTTTGTTTTCCATGTAGTCAGAATTAGCATTAAGCCAAGTATACAGATCGAAGCGAAACAAAAATTGAAGCACGCGAAAAATCATGAAATTTTGCTAGCGAAAAAGGTTGTGAAAAAATGTTTGTGGAACATTTTCCAGTTTCCTTTTTTCGCAGTTCATGTGAAACGAAATCGATCAGTTTACACCTCCGGTGAAGTGAAAATCTGACAGATTCGCATAGCTGCTGCTCTTTTCGCTAGCTAGATACGCTCTTTTTCGAAACGTCAACTTTTCGCATAGCTGCTCGAGCTGCTGTTCTTTTCGCTAGCGCTGCATGCGCGAAAAAAAAACGTAAGCGAAAAAGATACGATCCACAAAATTAGATTTCGCTGGATCGTAGGTATCTGTTTACAGTTCAAAGCGAAGTGAAAAAGTTGCCAATTGCGTTTTCACGCAGGTGAAAAATTTAGCATTTTGTATGAGGTTTTCGCTTCGCTTCGATCTCTATACAGGCCTTTAGAATTAGAAATATTCATTTCGACACGTTTAAAGCAGAAGAACTGAAGGACAGTGTATTGTTCTGGAGCAGAGTACCCCCCCACAAAGGTTTCAAGTATCGGGAAACCCTTCTTAAGACGACCTACCGATAACTACCGATAAAAGTTTTGAGAAGCTACCGATAATGAAAAAAATAATCTGGCCACTCTGAATCAAAATCAAAACGAAAAAGCCATCTGTCAAATGCGTCATTTTTTTCTCATCGTAGCAACAACGCTAAGGAGCAAGTTTAATGTTTATTGTTAGTTTTCACGCAGAAAATCAGTTTTTGTGTAATAATACGTTACTAACTATTAAACTGTAAGTATTTTTAACGTTTAACAGCTGATTCAGCAATATATAGTATGTTTAGAGCACATTATTTAACGAAAATGTTTTGCGTCAATTTAGGCTCACAGTGGCCCTTATTATTTTCTATGTGAAACATGGAGCCCAAAACAAAGTACATGACCTACAGCAATACTGCACTCGGTAAAGCCGTGGACATGGCACGAAGAGGTACATCAGTTCGGAAATCTGCTGCCTCGTTTTTCGTTTCAAATTCGAGCGGAGAAAAAGGCAGCCAGAGAAACGAAGAAATTGGCTGCAGCAAAACGTCTTGAAAATAAACCTAAATCTGCTCCAAAGAAGATGAAATTGATTGTTTGATCTTTAATGATTTGTATATTTACCATATTTCATCAACCATTCAATAAAAACTTGTTTTTTTGTTGAAATTAAGCTATTTTTTTAAGTGCGTCAAATAAAGAACACCTTGCGTCAAATAAGGCACATTACAGATTCTATGCGTCAAGTTAGGAACCCAAAGTACCAAACAGAAATTTATTATAACATCAAGAAATCAACAGATATTTACGTTTTATTTATTTTTCCTACATTCTGTATTTACTGAACTATTACTGTGTAAAATATTGATTGAATTGGTAAGACTCTCATTTTTTAGAACATGTTTGAATTTGAAATTGTCTTAACTGCGTCAAGTATGGTGCTTCCACGGTACGTAGTTTATGAACAGCCTCTAGTGTAAAATCAGGTTGTTTTTGGTACGTTGGTACAAGCTGGTGCATGGGCGTAGCCAGAGGGGCAGGGGGGGGGCAACTGACCCCCTCCTAAACTCAGCAACACAAAGGCTTTCGGTAAAATGGCATTCGGCCAAATTTTCCATAGAATTTTTTTTTCGCCCCTCCCTAGTTCGAAACCTGGCTACGCCCTTGAGCTGGTACAATAGTTGAAAAGTTACAGCAACATAGACGTGACCAGTTTTTTTTTTGCAGGCGTAGTTTATCTGTAAAAAAATAATCTATGTCCGGTTATCTAAAATATTTCTATTAGAATACTGAAAATTAAGACAATGTCCCAGAGCATGCTCGGCATGCACAGTTGTACACACCAACTGCTCATTTGGTAATAACTTTTTACTCAGTTGTTGAAATTCGTTTTTCTTTAAAGTAATTGATAGATTAGCATCATAGTTTACTATGGATATGCAAAGAGTAGGTAAATCTTAACATTTGAATCCGAGATGTGCAGTGAGCATTTCTCACTTCATTTTTCCAACGCAAAATCAAATACAGTTTATTACTAGAATTAAAATCTACTTTTTTACGTATCTATAAAAAGCTTAAACTCTATTCTATCGACTGCTTCAAACAGAACTATGTTTCGTCAACTCTGAGCAAAGTTATTAGCAAATGAGCAGTTCGTGACCAAAACTGTGTATGCCAAGCATGCTCGCAGGGCTGTTACAACAGGCGCGGAAAACAAATAATGTTGATCACATTGCAAAAAATCATGTGACATCAAATCATGGACACATACAAAACAATCTTTGAAATTTTATCAGTGCATGACGTCAAAGTTTTTGGGAAGATCCCGGGCATCAGATCTACTCGCTGCGTTTATGGACGCCCTTGCCGGTATCTCTTCGAACAAGTTGCTGCAAGTGTCCATGGATGGGCCCAATGTGAATTGAAGCTAGAGGTACAAACAGGTGGCGAGAAGCTGATAGATCTGGGAAGCTGTGGGCTGTATATTTTGCATAATGCCTTGTTCAGACTGGAGAGTTATAACATGTTATAACGGTTGTCAAATAATTGCAACACAGAAACCACCATCAAGATAGCGCTATAACATGTTATAACTCTGTAGTCTGAACAAGGCATAATGCATTCAAGGATAGTGTTCACAGTATCAGTTGGGATGTTGTCAAATATTTGCGTGGTATCTACAATATCTTCAAAGATGTACCAGCTCAACTTCGACAGAAACTGATTTGAAGAAAGCTAGCTTAATACAACGTTCAGGCTACAGATTTATAACATGTTGTAGCGCTATCTTGATGATGGTTTCTGTGTTGCAATTAGTTGACAACCGTTATAACATGTTATAACTCTCCAGTCTGGACTGCGTTTTAAGCTAGCATTCTTCAAATCAGTTGCTGTCGAAGTTGAGCCATTTCTATTAGAATTGCAGACTGAACATTTCTCGATGAACATTTCAAATGGTCGTATCTGCTTTGATCGATTCTCTTCATTGACTTTCTCTTTCGTTAATAACTCAGCTGCAAAATCTTTCCCTGTTGTATTTGACGTTTTGGACGCTAGATAAGAACCTCCTTCAAACTATGTAGTAGAATTAGCGCGAAATTTGTTTGCATAGCAGTGGTTATGAAAAGAGAAAGTCGATGAAGAGAATCGATCAAAGCAGATAGGACCATTTGAAATGTTCATCGAGATTTGATCAATATGACCGCAAAAAGGAACGACTGGACGTTTTTTGGCACAGGTTATTGGTCGGCGTATTCAGAACTATTGTTGGTTTTTCGGTAAATGCAGAATATCTTTTTGAAAACATGAGGGAAGAGTCAAGGCCCAAGCGCAATGACAGCGGAACGGCAGTGGTAGCGGAAAAGCCCGATCTGAGTAAGCCTATTTGTCGGATTGAAAACTAGTTAGAATCAAATCGACTGCGGTTACGCATCTTGATGTCATTTGTGACAATTGTCAAACTTGTTGTTTCCGTTCCGCTTCCGCCCACATTGCGTTTGGGCCTTCAGTCGTAGCGCGACTTCAGATCTATGATGGTGTTACCATAGAGGTAACTCTAAGACTAGAAGGTCCCGAAAAACCGTGCTCAACTTTTTGGCTCAGCTCTGGTACTCTCTTCGGTCCCAAGCTAATCGATTCACCCCTCGAAACATAGGAAAACCAATAACCCCTCATTTTATCTGTCAAACTTTCATAGCGAATCAATACAAATATTGCGTAGTACTAGAATTTCGACTAGAATGGGGTACGTTAATCGTTTGCTTGGGACCAATAGGCTAGTCAAGTAGTGAGCCAATTTAAAATCGTTAGTTTCGTATTGATTGTTGGTGTTACTCATGCAGGCGGGTTGGAAAACTTATAAATTTTGAATGAACTTCCCTAATAAAAAATAACCATAAACGAACGATAACCCAAATCATTGAACTATTCCATAAATGGTTTGGATGATACCCAGAACACGTCGTTAAGCAAATTAACCATACCATTTTTATTAGGGTTATTCAACGAGTTCAAAAAATCGCATTCGCTTTCCATGTAGACAAGGATCGTCGTATGAAAGAAGCTCTCAATTCCGAGAGATCAAGATGCTCAAAAAAAGCCGAGAGTTTGCAGGAGAAAATTTTTCTGCTCAAATGATAGACATTTTTAAAAGTAATCCGAAAATAAACACATTCAACTTGCAATATCTCGTTGTATGAGTATACTAATGCAAAATTTCTCGTTGTATGAGTATACTAATGCAAAAATGGTACAGGCATTGAAAGCTCTCAATTAATAACTGTGGAAGTG